AAATTTTGCCTCCCGAATCCCAAACTGCCTCCCAAATCCCCAAAATTTTCCCTCCCAAATCCCAAACCACCTCCCAAATCCCAAACTTCCCCTTCCCAAATCCCCAAATTTCCCCTTCCCAAATCCCAAATTTCCCCTTCCCAAATCCCAAATTTCCCCTTCCCAAATCCCAAAATTTTCCCTCCCAAATCCCAAATTGCCCCTTCCGAAATCCCTAAATTCCCCCTTCCCAAACCCCAAAATTTTGCCTGCCAAATCCCAAATCCCAAACTCCACCTTTGCCCTTCCCCAGATCCCAAACCGCCTCCCAAATCCCCAGATTTTACCTCCCAAATCCCCAGATTTTACCTCCCAAATCCCAAATTTCCCCTCCCAAATCCCCAAATTTCCCCTTCCCAAATCCTAAACCACCTCCCAAACCCCAAATTCCCCCTTCCCAAACTTTCTCTCCCGTTCCCAGAACACGCACCAGCCGCAGAAGTGCAAGGACGACTCCGCGGTGAAGCCGCCGGCGCTGCTGACGCCCAAAGCGGAGCCGCCGGAGCCGCTGGAGCCTCCGCTCGGCCGCAACTCGGAGGTGTCATCGTCATCCTCGGAGGAGGAGGAGGAGGAGGAGGCKCCGAGCTCGCCGGAGCTCCGCAGGGCCAAGCGCAGCCGCCTGGCGCGCAAAGCGGGCGGCAAAGCCAAGGGCAGCGGATGGAGCTGCGGCATCTGCCACTCGTGGTTCCCCGAGCGCGACGAGTACGTGGCGCACATGAAGAAGGAGCACGGCAAGGTGGGGAAGATGGGAATTCCCAGGATTTTGGGGATGATGGGGGTGGGAGGGGGTACCGGGAGGGAAATGGGGATCAATTCCATGGGGAAAATGGATTCTTGGGTCAATTCCGTGGGGAAAATCCCACGGGAAAATTGATTAGTGGATCAATTCCATGGGGAAAATCCCGGGGGAAAATCCTGTGAGAAAATCAATTCTTGGCTCAGTTACGTGGGGAATCAGGGATCAATTCCATGGGGAAAATGGATTCTTGGATCAATTCTGTGGGGAAAATCCCAGGGGAAAATTGATTACTGGATCAATTCCATAGGGGAAATCCTGGGAGAAAATGGATTCTTGGGTCAATTCCGTGGGGAAAATCCCAGGAGAAAATCGATTCCTTGCTCAGTTCCATGGGGAATCGGGGATCTATTCCCAGGGCAGTCAGGGTTTAATTCCATGGGGAAGCAGGAATCAATTCCATGGGGACAATCCTGGGAAAAAATCGATTTCTGGCTCAGTTCCATGGAGAATCAGGATTTAATTCCCAAAGGAATCAGGGCCCAATTCCCAAAGGAATCAGCAGGGCTCAATTCCCAGGAGAAAATCCCAGGAAAAAAAATCGATTCTTGGCTCAGTTCCCAGGGGATTCAGGGCTTCATTCCCAAAGGAATCAGCGGGGCTCAATTCCCAGGAGAAAATCCCAGGTAAAAATTGATTCCTGGCTCAGTTTCCAGGAGAATCAGGGCTCAGTTCCTGAAGGAATCAGGGCTCAATTCCCAGGAGAAATTCCCAAGAGAAATTCCATCAGGACGGAGATTTTTCGGGATAATCCCCAGCTGGATGAACAATCCCAGCTGTGGGATGAGCCAGGAGAGGGAATTTGCGGGAAAACCGAGTTCCGGCTTCAGCTGGAGCGGGAATCCCGCTGTTGGATCCTTCTGGATCCTTCTGGATCTATCCCAAATCCCTCCGGATCCATCCCAAATTCATCCCGGCCCCGTTTGTCCCRGCAGTCGGTGAAGAAGTTCCCGTGCCATCTGTGCGAGCGTTCCTTCTGCTCGGCCCCGAGCCTGCGCCGGCACGTCCGCGTCAACCACGAGGGCATCAAACGCGTCTATCCCTGCAGGTGAGCGGGATTTCCTGGGATTTCCTGGGATTTCTGGGATTTCTGGGATTTCCTGGGATTTGGGGGCAGGAAAAACCAGGAAATGCCGGGGGTTTTTGGGGAAAAGAGGTGGGGGTGAAGATCTGGGGGGGTTGGGATTTCTGGGAATTGGGGAGAGCGGGGAGGAATCCGAGGGTTTGGGTCAGTTGG